ATGTTTCTTTATGAATTGTATGCTTGGAATACAGGTTATAATTATTGCTACTTTCCAACTTTCTAACATTCAGATCTGATTGGTAATGGAATGAATTACCTTAGAAGAGTGGGTTCCTCATCACTCAAAGGGTAACAGCAGACACTAATCATACTGACAGAGAATCCATGTATCAACCTAGGACAAACTCAGTAATCTCTAAGATCTTCATAACCCTTAGATACAATATTTTATCCCTCCTTAGATTGCCTTTTCCTTTCTTCTTTGCTTGTCTGAAATCTACCCATCTTTTGAGGCCTAGGTCACATACCACCTTCTCCCCAAATAATATTGCCTCATATGATTATTATGAGAATTTGATGATATTTGATAAATTTGATATGTAGCTTTTACTAACTTGACACACAGTAGGTGCTCAATTACATCCTTAACATGCATTAACTCCTTATCTTGCTTTTCTCCACAATGACAAAAGGTCAAATTAACTTCCTTCTTTTCTGGACTCCAACACTATTTGACTGCAATAAAAAAAATATGTAATTTTTATAGTCATATTTTTCCTGAATTACTTAATGTCCTGTGACATCTTCATGCTTACGGAAGACTAGGACCAAATCTTCTTTTTATTTTTAGTTCCCAAAGTTTATAAAGAAGAGCCGAACATCTAATGTTTAATTCATATGGAGGGGGTAAGCCTTATGATTGGAGAGTCAACACAATGTAGTTTAAAATCACTCTGTATCTAATCTTGCTTCCCTAAGTTAGTACTTATGTAAACTTGAAAAGTCATACTCTTGAGTTTCCTCATCAAAAAATGGGGCCAGATATCCCTACTCTGCCTTCCTGAGAGTACTGCTGTAACCCGAAAACTGGATAAAGGAACACACAAATAGTGCAGTTATACCACACTTTGGTTTGGTTTTCCATTTTGTTGCAAATTAGCAAGTTTAGAGAATTTACAAAGGAAATGACAATCCCTCTTTAGCAGACCATCCTGATGACAGATATTTGAGAAATTTTCTCTGCCCAAGTATAGAGCAAATTATAGACTGCCATGATACTCAGTGTAACTACTCTTTACACATTATAAAGGTTAAAACTTTCTTATATCTCAAATGAATAATTATTCTGGAAAATAATGGATCACCACAATCTTCCATTAAGACCATGGCTTTGGGGCCATCTGGTAATGTTCACGTGCTGTTCAAATATCCTGTGAGTAATAAGAGGCTCTCTGACCAACATAAACAACTGTGTCAAAATGCAATTATAAATTTAATAACCTCTTATAATGGTCTAATCCTCATTATAATTTCAGCTTAACCAATCTAGAGTGAAAGTAAAATCTGCAAGCTGTTCAATTCCTGTTTCACACAGTCGTCAGAATGATCTCATAACCCAAATTCCACAGCTTAGAAATCGACGCCTTTTACAACGAGCCTCTGTTGCTTTCTTTGCATTTATTCAACAAATATTGACTTGTTTTCTACTATGTGCCCTCATTGTGCTGTCCAGGTTTGTTTACTCACTGTTCCTGAGATAGCACTAAACTCTTTTGCATTTCTGTCTTTGCTTGACCTACCCTCTCTGACTAAAATGCAGCTTCAGTCTCTTATCACCTGACAAAATCCTTCTACCAGACATGGTCCAGTTCAAATACCAACTCCTTCCTCCATTCATGTGCACATAGCCCTCTGATGACAGTTCTACAGTAGTAGATCGCTAGCCCATCCTACTATTTTCCTACTAAATTGTGCTCTCTTAGAGGGTAGGGTTGTGTCTTTTACTTTGGATCCCTCACAGCACTTAGCTTGTAAATTAAAATCTTAGGAATAGCCTTGCTCATTTGCCACATTCAGCTAATTCACGTCATTTGCCAAAAAAAAAAAAAAATGATATGGGTGAATTGAATCAAATGTTTATTGACTGATTGTTTGGCCTCTTTTAATGGTGGCTTCAATAATGGATTCACTCCAAATCCATTGGTGGGTTTGTAAAAACTTGGCCTATGGAAGAGGGCAAGAGAAATAGAAGCATTTTTTATTATAGCTGTTTTAATTTTAATTTAAAAGCAAAAATTCTTATTTTTTTAAACTGATGTGATAGTATTTTTATTTATTTTTTCTCTTGGAATGCAGCCCTAAAGCAACATTTTAAAGAATAATAATATACATTACATACAGATGTTACAGTGGCTGCATATAAAACTTTGCCTAGAGTTTTATCTACAAACCAATGGCTGTGCGTGAAAATCATCACTGCAACTAGCTGAAAAGTAAAGAACTTCATTAAGTCATATTTTGGCATCTTACAAGATGCTAAATATCAACACCTTTGATATCTCTTTTTTTTCAGATAATTGGTTGATTAATTTAACCCTATACAGTGTTAAAGTACTAAAATATCCCCTTTTTCTTTCCTTATTTACCCCCATTCAATCACCACTGGCAAGTTTAGACCCCAGGGCAGTTGACCTAGAGTTAACTCCAGTCAAAGGCACACACTGTTTCTGTTTAAGTCCCTGAATTCCATTTAACTTTTTACTCCACTGGACTTTTTCACTCTGCTGGAAGAGACCTCTAAGTTGATGCCTACAAGTCCTTCAATGGCTGTCCTTTGAAACAAAACAAAACAGGCCTTAAGATCACCCCCATTTGGCTGTTTTCTGGGCCCCGGCTTACCATCTTACTCCCAGAGTCTTCCAGGGATCTCTCAAAAAGCCCACAGGGCCCTTCCAAATCTCTTTTCTCTATAATACTTCTATTTCTCCTACTAAAGCATATTATTTCCCAAACTTGTTATGTTTTCACACGCAGAAGCGCGAGAGGGAAGACATAATATTGTTCTTTCTTCCCCTGTGTTTTCATTGTTACAAAAGTGGTATTCTCTCCAGCATATGGTCTTGAATCCAGCCAGGACCAACTGGTGCTTGAGGTAATTGGGAGGAACGTAATAGACAACTTCTTTTACACTTCACAGTTTTTAAGCTTCCAAATATTTTCAAGTACATACATATTTCTGTAAATTATTCCAAGTATACTATAATTTATCGGTACTACATACAGTTAAGTATTTTTTTCACCTTTCAGCATGATAATTTGATTTATTCTTCTACCCTACAGTTTATTATTACTATCTAAAATGGCAGAGCCTAATTTTAACATGGCTTGTAACTCTATGGGTTTCTATGGAGTCAGGGGTCAATGTTGTACTTCTGAAGAGTAAAAACTGTATGTGCAAAGAGGTATATAGCAGATATCGTTAACTGCCAACATTAACAAAATGATTAAATAAATTTATTAATACAAATGAATGATACCAACCTTAAGTGGTACTATCTAAGAGATAAAGTAGAATTCATATAATCTCACCAGGTCCATTAATTTTCTACTAATATTAAAATAAAGAGAGGTATGCTTATATGAAGAAAGATCATTATTCATTTTATATATATATATATTTCTATGTGTCTCGTCATTCAATGAATGCTCATAGATAATTCTGAGTAGATACATTTCTGATGGAGTAGAAATTGTCATATTTTCCAGGTCCTGTTTCATGACATACCTAGCATAAAATTTGTTCACAGTCTTGAGGAATTATCAACTCAAGGTAAAGGAAGAGGAAAGCATGGTCTAAATATTTTGCATGTAAAGTAACCACTAATAATTAAACACAATTTAATCTTTAGTGAGATGATGAACAATGCAGTTAGTTGTTGTTTCTTATTTACATAGTCTCTCCCATTAATTGCAAAGTAAACCAGGAAAAGAGGAATAATCTGGGAGATCGTATTTAATTTTGGTGAGATTGGCAAATACAACAAAACAGCTCATCTTTACTCTTTTACTAATATAAATTTAACAGATTGTGGATCTAGAAGAATCTTAGAAATTATCTAGACCAACTCTTTCACTTTACTTCTCTATGAGATTAATGTTAAATTATGTGACTGGGTTTATGTTACACAGATGATTAGGGACTGAGCTTGGACTTGATTTGGAGAATTCCTGACTTTGGGCCCAGGACTTTTTTTGACTGTATCACATTACTTTTAAAATAAAATGCAAGCTCAAATGAGTTTTATATGTTTGAGCTCACTATAGCTACGGTTTTCCAATGCTTCCCACAAAGTTTAGAAAGAAATAAATCGATATTAATAAGTATATATGGCAGCATTTCAAACACGATTTGTAAGCAAAAATTTTACTTGGATTCATTCCATTAGCCATGTATAAGGGAGGGTCCAGCCAAACTCTCTCTATCCCTCTCCAGTTCCATCTGCCTTTCTCTCTCTCCCTCTGTCATTTATGTTACTCTTTTATTTCTTAAGCAAGCTACTGGGAAAAGGAGGTTCATTTTTCACTTCTCTATAGGTTTAAAATAGTGTGTCACTCTGTGACGGTACTATAGAATTTGGTTCAAAATATTTCCCACTCCTTTTAGTTGATTGCTCTAGATAACGTATTAAAAAAGTTATCAAAAAGACAAATATTTGACAGATAAGAAACTAGCATGTTTGTGAATGTTCACATAAGACTACTGTGCATTTATGACTACGGATTGCATGTTTTAGCTCTATAGTTTGTGAGAAATTAAGCAATCTCCGCAAATTGCTATTTCTTGAGGAATAGGACAGACATGCTTATTTATATATTTATTTTTTTTACCATAATTGCTGTTAAGAATGCTCTAAATAATATACGAGCCACTTTTATGTAGCAACAGAACTTTTAAGAAATGGATGTGTAAACATTGACAATATTGATAAAGTAAATAGAAGTGGCAAGAAAACTTAGTTGACATAATAAAGCATTCCCAGTTTCTTACTGAAGTTTTAAAATAATTATTTACAATGTGATGTGACACAAAAGAAGATAGTAACCATTTTAAATCAAACTGGTTTTTCCCTTAGCATTTCATATATTAGAAAATTTTCAAATTTGAATCAAAATCTCTAAAATTATTTAGTACACAAAAAATAAAGTGTATTCACTTACGACCCTGATGCTTTCAAAATGTCCACCTTCTTTCTCAAAATCAATAGGCTGTCCTTTTAGCGTCCAGTAGAAAGTCACATCCAAACTAGGATCGTGAATTGCTTTGCAGTTAAGGACAATGCTTTCTCCCACTGTTAACTCTGTTCTTTTAGGAGTAAGTTCTATCCTTGTAGGTTCTGTAGAAGTAAAAATACGTTAGTTAACATAATCAACATGCAGGTCCCTGCATCATACATTAGTTTATGTAATAAAGATAAACACAAACAAGGAATCTATACAACACAGTTGTTCCAAACATATACACCAGATTTTTCACATTTGTAAGTAAAATATTGAGGGTATTATTCATTTTTTGAATGCTAGTGCATTTTACTTTGCTTTTGCTGGGCATGCAAATGATTTAATGATTTAAGAGCCCTGTTGCAATGAAGAGGTTAACTTTACAAAAAAAAGACTAGAGATTACATAACTAGAAGCAGTATTTGGCCCTAGGGAAGGAGAGAAATAAATAAAAGAAGCTATCGCCTCCCTGTTCACCTTCAAGGATCATCAAGTACACATAAAAGGATTTTTACTATAAAAAATGTTTCATCTTTCAGGAGAAAGAACTCAAGTTCATCTCCTTCAGGGCTATAAGAGGCTACAAGGCAACAGAAGTACCTCCCCCCCAAGTACTATCTTAATAGAGGGAAAAATATACCACTACTACTACAAATCCCCTTCTATTTTTTGCTTTACACTGTACAAAACTCTCTTATGATATATTATCATTTTGAAGTAGACAGGCATTTTCTAGCTGATTATAGAGTATCAGCATTGATGAATTGAGGATGGCTTAATTAAGATACAAAAAGAAAAGCAAGATCACTGATTGAAAATATTGAGAAAAAAATGTTTATGTTTGACTACTTAATAATTCAGTTGAGCTTTTTTTGTTTTTTAACTAGATACCTTTTTTTTTTTTTTGCTGGGTTTAGAGCAACTTTGAACCCATAAAGGTGAATACAGGATATATACCTTCGGGTTATTTAAGCTAGTGATCAAATGACTACAATATGAAGTTTTTTGAAGAGAGTGGGGAGGTGATGGAAAAAGGATTTTGGTTTTACCTTTTTTTCTAATTAGATTCCTGGTTTTACATACCTCAAGAAGATTAACAAAACTGACAATGAGCCGAATATTTGTATTCTAACTCTATTGTTTGCAACAGTATACTTTGATGCACCACTTGTAACAACTGATCATATCCTTTAATAGCCAACGTTTTTCTAAACAGTCCCTGAAAGCAAAGTGCAACCACAGGATAGGATGCCCAAATGTGAATATTAACATTCGAAAAGTCAGATAGTCCATGTGGCATTCTAAGTTCTGGCTTCATTAGAGAAGACAGAAAATCACAGTATACTGTAGTTTAAACTTTGTAGAGATTGGAGTGTTTTGGGTAACTCAATATTTCATTTAACTCATGATTAACAGAAACATTGTTATCATTGTTAAACAAACACACAAGAAGTCTGTAGAACCAGAGTTACCTCATTATGAAAAAGACTGATTACCACACAAGAAGGATAAAGAATAGAGGATCGGGTTGAATCCCGACCCATATAAATGAAAACATCTTATTTTCCTGAATATATATAAATGTATATATATAGATTATATAAAATACCAGAGTGCTAACTACATTAATTACATTTTTATTTATAAAGAGAAAAATGAACATTTCCATAATTTTTATGGCCAAATAATTATTTGTTATATTACACATGTACAAGCAAAAAAATTAAAGAGACAGTTCAGTTATGAAAAATATTTCTTTGACAGCTAAAGGGAATTTGCTGCCTAAGATATGAGATTTTGTTGCTACTATTCTACAATATAGAGTCTCAAAAGAATGCTCTAGGCTTCAAATCTCAGTCTCTTTAGAACTAGAAAACTAACAAATATATAAGCACCAGTATTTATTATACTAAAAATTAAAGCTATATAAATAATTCCATTGATGCAGACATCAATAGCCACCTCTGGTATCAGATTATATGAGGCACACCCCTCCAACACACATTCATATTATTCTTCCTCTACTCCCTTTTGCCAAAAATCTCCAGTTGAAATGGTGACAAAGGAAAATTACTGATGGATGCTAAAATTTGTTTTGGTAGAGGAAAATAATTTTATACTGTTGGCATACTTCTAAATTTCAAGACACTGACTTAAACATCAGAAATCCTTCTTTACCCTTTCACATATTTTGTTCAAAGCAAAATCTTCAAATTTCTACTATCAGTGTGTTCCTTACTCTATGGTCTCCTAATGGATGGAAGAGAACTATTGGGCTGTGTCACTCTATCTTTGCAATGTATTCTATAAACAGGAGCATGCACACACACACACACACACATACACACACACACAGGCAAACACATATACATGCATATTATATTTATTGTTCTGATGAAGCCAGGAGAAAACTATACTTAAAAAACATTTAAGCACATTTTCTTACCTTTTACAGATACTGAAGCTATAATTTCAGCGGAACCAAAGACATTTTCCCCTTGGCAAACGTATTTTCCCTCATCTGATTTAGAAGCATTTAGCATTCGTAGACTCCCGTCTGGAAGAATTGCTATTCTGAAAATTATTAACAAAGGTTGTTTTTTTCCTGTTTTACTGCAAATCAACTAAATGGTAGGAAACTGTGATGAAGTCTGAAACCACTTCCAAGGTAACAATAAATAAACGATCAGTGTGAAAATATGCAGTGGTGTTAGAAATGTTTTTTACCCTTCAAAGAAATTATGCAATAAACCCACTAACTATCTTCTCATATTCGAACGGGTTATGGAGTTACAGGTTATTTTTCTTTTGACACTTTCTGACGGCTAATTTTAAAACTTGTTGAAAAAGGTGACCCTGAATTTGGTTATTAAAATTTGTTGCTGTAATATCACACAGTGATATTTTAATATTAAGCTTGGGTATTTCACCTTAAACCAAGAGTGACCTCAAAAACCAAATATAAAAAGAAACAGCATAAAAACATAGAGGAGGACAAGAACGTAACATAAAATTAATTGTATACAGTCAAGAGATGATTTATGGTAGTTTCTCCACGGTGCCAACTGTGCAGCAAGGGTATACAAATGAGAACTGATACCTGAGCTGCTCACGCTGCACTTTTTTACACTTAAGAACATGATATCTGAGTTTGCATTTGGGCTCTTTCATGACCTTTGTTAAAAGTGGACCTTGAGTTTTATATGAAGGTGAAAAATTAAGGCATTATTAAAAATTTTTAGAAGTTCAGTGAAAATGAGGCCGCCATTTGGAATTACCGTATTCTCCTGTGTATTCACCATTCCAGAAATACATTTCAAACTTAATCAGTACTTTTGTCCTTTTCTCCCTTCCATGCTCCTGAAATACAACTAATATTTCACCAGTGGGTCAACAGACTCAATCAAGCAACCTGAAATATAGGAGAAGTGGCTGTTGTAGGTTTATTTGATAAGCCAGAAGAGTTTGAACTGACATCCTGCAGGAAAGAGGAAGTAACAACAGGCTGTGTTGCTTTGGGTAAGAACCAGTGACCCCACGGAATTCAAAATCCTTAAATTCTATCCTCCTACTCCCATGAATAGTTTACTGCATTGCAGTATGATAATAGTAAACTATTTAAGATATATGAATAATGCCTAATCTGTTTAGTCAATATCATTTATGTTATTTTTAAACGTCTAGTCAATCTTGTCAGTCACCCAGAACTGAATATTACTTAGAGAATTGAACTTCTTAACAACTGGTACTAGATTATAGGCAGCTGAAATACTGCTTATAAATTTATGCTTAAATATTGCCATCAATAAAGATACCAGTTTAAAAAATATAGTTTTCAGTAGGGATCTAACTTGAATCACAGCCTGTAAGAAAGAAGGCAAATTTATAAACAAGTCGAGTTATGTAAATAAGACTAAGACTAGTAAAAACTAAGATAGCAAATGATGTCTAGGGAGATATTAGCCTGAGATATTTGGAAAATACGGTGGGCTCAAAAGTTATATAATCCATTCAAGATGGTCAAGGAAAAATTCTGTTCATTATAGTGCTCATTTTTGATAAAAAATAGACTATAACATATTTATCCTATTTTGATCCCAAAGGTACACATGCTACAAAAAGCTTCATTTCAAAGCAAAGTTTATACTTTTTGTAAACAAACAGGCATTCTCTTTTGAGAATTAAAAACTTTATTGAGATTTAGCTAAATTACTAGTATTCATGCAGATTGTTAATATTTTGAAAATATCTAAATTTTACTGACCCAAGTAAATTCTAATCTGGCAGGTAAGAAGTTTGGTTTAAAAGTTCACTTCCTTTAAGGAAAGAAATCTGTCTTAGACCCTGGCGGTATTTCAGCTCTTGATTTAAGACGAGTCCTTTCTTGACAGGAGGCAACATATTATATTCTCCTCTTAAAGATAGTTTACTAACACTCCTGCACTTTAGGCCACTGATCTACTTGGAGGATAAAGAGTTTTGAATACCACAATGTTTTTTATCTGTCAAATGGCAGTGCCATTTAACCTAAAGTCAACCTGCTGATTCAAATTGGAAATCCTTATCAGATGAATTTACCTTTTTTTTTTTTTAATTTATTAATTTATTAAAAAAAAAAGAAATCCAAAAAACAGATTAGCCAGTGGATGTGTTTTACGTTATAATTTCTGGTCATACACACATACTTTCAACTTCCAACTTCTTTATCCGTCTTCTCCCCTTATATATTACTGCTTGACTCCTATTGCTACGGATTGAACTGTGGCCCCCCAAAATGTGTGTCAACTTGGCTAGGCCATGATTCCCAATTTGTGTGATTGTCTGCCATTTTGTCATCTGATGTGACTTTCCTGTATGTTGTAAATCCTGCCTCTATGATGTTAATGAGGCAGGATTAGAGGCAGTTATGTTAATGAGGCAGGACTCAATATACAGGATTAGGTTGTATCTTGAGTCAGTCTCTTTTGAGATACAAAAGAGAGAAGTGAGCAGAGAGACAGGGGGACCTCCTACCATCAAGAATGAAGAACCAGGAAGGGAGCATGTCCTTTGGACCTGGGGTCCCTGCGCTGTGAAACTCCTAGACCAGAGGAAGATTGATGACAGGGTCCTCCCTGAGAGCCAACAGAGAGAGAAAGCCTCCCCCTGGAGCTGGCAACCTGAATTCAGACTCTAGCATCCTAGACTGTGAGAGAATAAATTTCTCTTTGTTAAAGCTATCCAGTTATAGTGTTTCTGTCATAGCAGCACTAGGCAACTAAGAAACCTATATTCTGGAATTTCCAGATTTGGGTATTAATTCTGCTAAGAAATGCTGGGACTTGGAGTAGGGTTGTAAGGGAGTGATGAGGTAGAGGCTCACTGGGGAAGGAGGGATTTTAGGAAATGCAAAATCAGCATTTTAGCATTCAGGATCAAGTTATGCTTGCTGTATTCTGTTCTATAGACTTCTCCATCAGTTTCTGTCTAGACCTAGGTGATGTCTTGTTTCTCTTAATTACTGGACATCTGCCCCTAATTACTGGAAGTCTGCCTTGTTATCTATTCAATACACAGTTCATCTAGGACAGCATTGTCCTTATCCCTATCTTCCATTGCTGACATCTTAATGCCTACCCTTATTTCCAAATTTCAGCAACATTTTCTGGATCCTCCATTATCATGTTTGGCCCACCACAGAACCAAGCTTAGATCTTTCCAAGCAGACTGCATGCCTGGGAGTACCACCTACAACCTGCTGTTATATTATTTATAGATCATGCTCTCATTTCCAGATTATAATTCTTTCTGGTTTCATATTATCCTGGTCAATTAAGAATGTATGTTTTAAAGTCAGAAAGGGTTGGGTTCAAATCCCTGCCAGTGGCTAGCAGACGTGGGATTTTGAGCAAAACTACTTAATCTCTTCTCTTACATGTATAACTGCTATACTAGTACCTAACTAGTTATTTAAAAGTGTTAACTTAGGTAATATGTGTAAATTATTGTACTTTAGTGGTGTGAGATAGACATGGATTAAAAATTTACTTAAAAATATAAATAAAATTTGTGATAAATATTAAGACGGAAAAAGTAGAGAGTAGCAGGAAGTCAGAAATGTCTTTTTGGGGAGAATAACATTTTAGCTGAGTTAACTAGGGAAAAAGTAGGAAAGCAGAAGGAATAGCATTTGCAAAGGCCCTGAAGTGGGAAAGAGCATGAAACCTTGAAGAACCTTGATCAACTTGGCTTATCTGGTGCTGCTGTGGCTCTGACTGGTCCGTGCTGGTTCTGTCTTAGGGGAAGAGAGGAGTTTCTCTAGGCTGGGCACTGGGTGTTTCTCAGTGGGGGAAAGGTGTGGTGGGATCATTCTACTGGTGCTCCCTGGCCACTTCAGTGTATCTGGGTGAGGCTGCAGGGACAAAGAAGCTTCTCAGAATGGGCCACTTGCTGTAGCTGGGTCTCTCTTGTCAGTTCCTCCTGCCTGCCTTGACATCTCATGGAAAAGAGGAGTCTCAGTCCAAACAGAGAGGGAGAGTGCCACTTATTTTTGATGAGGCTCCCAATTGAGCCTTTGGTTGGTGGTGTTAGGTTCACCAGATGTGGTCAGAAAGACTCCAGTTTCATCTGGAACAGGAATAAACATACTAGGACTTTCTTTTATTGCTAGTTCAGGATTGAGAAACACCAGGTCTGGATGGCCTTCTACTGTTGGGTGAGGTGCACAAAATCCCGGCCACTGTGCCATTCCTTCTGAATCCCAGACTAGCTCACCTTCTTACGGCCTTTCAGAGTTCTCCATTGGTTGTCTTTTGCTGCATTTCCAAGGTGCATAATTGTGCTTCACAGCGAGAAGCAGGGGGAAAAAAGGGCCTACGCTATCTTTTCTGGACTGGAGGTCTCAAGTTTTTTTACGTATTGATTTTTAATTTCAATTTTTGATTGTTCATTGATAGTATATCAAAATATAATTGACTTTTGTATATTGATCTTCTGTCTGAAACCTGCTAAACTTACATATTAGTTCTAGCAGCTTTTTTTATATCAATATGGTTCTCTATGTAGATCATCATGTTTTCTGCAATAAAGACAGTGTTATATCTTTCTTTATAAGTTGTAAGCCTTTTATTTTCTTTTCCCTTGCTTTATTGAACTGGTTAGGACTTCTAGTAGAATAGAAGTGAATAAAAGTTGTTGAACAGCAGCGATGAGAGCAAACACCCTTGCTTTTCTCTCTCATATTTTAATCTTAGAGGAAAGTAGAGTTTTTCTCTATTAAGTATGACGTTAGCTATAGGTGTTTCATAAATTCCAGTTATCAGGCTGGGGACTGTCCTTCTATTTCAAATTTGCTGAGAGATTCTTTTTTTTTTTTGTCGTGAGAGGATGTTGAACTTTGACAAAAGCTTCTTTATCTTTTGAGATGATCATATCGTTTTTCTTTTAAGTCTGATAATATAGTGAATAACATCGATTGATTTTCTAATATTTAACCAACGTGGCATTCCAGAGATAAAATCCACTTGGTTTGTTGTTGGATTTGATTTAATAAAATCTATATTCTTGAGAGATTGTTGTTGTTAGGTGCAATTGCA